TATTGACAGCCTAAATAGTTTGGGCATAATGCGTGTCTCTAAGGTTAGTTTGTCGGGGGACGGAAGAGGTCTACTACTTCAACTTATAAGCTTGAATATAAATACAATTCCAAGTCAGTACTCTGTCAAAAATCCCTGGGCAATTTTCCAACAGGTTTTTAGAAAACTCCTTTGAACTTTTGAACAATAGGATTAAAAACATGCGCAATTTTCCGCGGCCCAGTGTGTCGAGTTCAGACCATGTTTTTCCTCTGGCTCGCGGCAAGCCAGGTGGACACAAGTGCACTGCCCGCGACAAAGCAGGGTGAATTGGGTTAATGACTGCAACCTTTGTAACTTGTTCCAACAGAAGAGCTCTTAGATTAATAATTAATGTAAGGGTAGGGAATCGCTCCAGGTTACCCTACATTACACAAAACCCCTTTAAGATTGTACTCAAGATACTCCAGTTTCTGCAAAGTGTCCTCCGTTATCTAAGAGCTGCAACACTAATACTATCTTCGCTACCGTATCACCGCGAGAGCTGAGAAAGACGTGTTTTTGTAACGATCATTTGGTCCCTGTCCCTTCCTATCAATTTAATGACGCCTTTTGTGTTTTGCAGAGCAAACAGACTGTTCAAATTAATGTTATTTCTAGAATGTCGTAATAAGAGAAAATTACCTTAATTAACAAGATACGAAAAGTGTATAATTAACAAGGAGCAGAATGCTAGCGCTTGCTTGTTATTGCTGCTGAGGCTGCTTCATCGTCGTCGCTGTCGTCGTCGTCCTTGTTACTGTTGCTGAGGCTGCTACATCGTCGTCATCGTCGTCCTTGTTACTGTTGCTGAGGCTGCTACATCGTCGTCGTCGTCCTTGTTACTGTTGCTGAGGCTGCTACATCGTTGTCGTCGTCCTTGTTACTGTTGCTGACATTTCTGACACCTTTATTTCTGTTGTTGTGTTAGATAAAGAATAATAATAAAAGATAGCATCTGTATAGCATAAATCGCTGCTCGACAGCAAGCTCTATGCGCTTTCCAACATCCAATACAATATATTATTACCCCAGCATATCTGAGAGCACTCTGGAACAATCTCAACCTCTAGGGAAGTGTATAGTACAAGTTGTCGTTTTGGCGCTATATAAATGCAATTTATTATTATGTTTATTATTATTATTATTTTCATTATTATTATTATTATTATTATTATTATTATTATTATTATTATTGTTATTATTATTATTTTCATTATTTATTATTATTATTGTTGTTATTATTATTACTATTATTATTATTGTTATTATTATTGCTATTATTATTATTATTAATATTATTATTATTATTATTATTATTATTATTATTATTATTATCATTAGTACGTCTTTCCTGGTTTCTATGACGACGGTGGCGCTCTATTGGCTCAGTTGGATTTCATGATGGACTTTGGAGCGCCATGGCCCTGGTTTGAATCCAAGACTGGGTGTTTTTCAACTTAGATCGGTTGTTTTTTTTAGTTGTCAAGGCTCTCAACCGTTTTGGCTCCGACCTGTCGGAGACGGATGTTAAATTCGGAGTTCTGCCTCTGCTTTAACCCTATCCGTACGTCGTGTTTTACTACCGTATCCATACGACGTGCGAAACACTGTGTCACCACTTAACCCTATCCGTACGTCCTGTTTTACTATCGTATCCATACGACCTGGGGAACTCTGCGCCACCCCCTTCCAAAGAGGAAATTTACCCGTTAATCCGATCCGTACGCTTCGCGTAGCAGTCTGTCAAAATGATTTTTTGAGAAATACTGAAAGTTTCAAAGAGATCTTCGTGCTAGAAGTATTCTGAAAGGTGAAGAATATAACCCCGGGGGTACAAAATGACCCCAGGGCGTACGGATAGGGTTACGTAACCTTACTTTTACTTTTACTTTTCCATTCTTCTGGTATCCATAGGAAGTCGAGGGGAGGTGCAGGTTTCGGTCCTGTGCTTGGTGTGTAGAGTCAGTGATAGTATATGTTATGTTGTTCCTGGGCCTTTTTCACCCCATCCAGCCAGGTCTTTCTTGGTCTTCAACTTGATTTGAAGCCGGATCCACGGGTCGGTGTGGTAAGCTCTAGCCGCTAGTTGTTTCTGGGGCATTCTGGATAGATGTCGAACCATTTGCCTCTTTGACGCTCTATTTAGTAACCTAACACTGTTAGGGTAATGGGTACCTGACTTCAATTTGGGGAAGTAAAGGCGGCGTGGAAAGGAACTGACCACCCTACCACAATATGGCCAAGGCCCAGGAAATTGTCTCACTAAGTAGGCAATCCCCAATGTCCGGATCGGATGCGAAGAACACCTTTACTTTACTTTTAATAATGTTAAACCCATACACTTACACATTTGCTGTGACAAGGTGTGGGGCAACTATACGTGCACCTGACTGAGATGTACGTCGGCCATTCAGATCCGGGAACCGCTACTAGATCTGCAAAACTCCGAGGTCTCTCTCTTACCCTCCTCAAACAAGAT